TATGTCCAAAAGATATAGATGTTTTGTAAAAAAAAAAAAAAAAGGGAATAAAAGTCGGTAAAATTCAAATATCTAATTACGTATAATAACATACCAATCAAATTTTTAATTACATAGATGCGATTTCAGATGCTGAGCCGACAATAGAAGTACGAGAAGAACAATACGAAATTCACATCGAAAGAACGACAGGTGGTCTCGGCTTATCAATAGCTGGTGGTATTGGTTCAACCCCTTTTAAAGGCGATGATGAAGGCATTTTTATTTCCAGAGTTACTGAAGGTAAAATATTATAATTTTATAATTACAAATTTAAAAAATAGAAATTAAATAATTTAAATTAAAAAAATATATAAATATATAAATATTTTGTATAAATTATAAAAATTTTATAATTATTATATTTATTTATATTTTATTTTATTTATATTATATTTATTTTTATATTTATTTATATTATAATCATTTTGATTTTTTTTAGGTGGACCTGCAGATTTAGCAGGTTTAAAAGTGGAAGATAAAGTATTATCTGTTAATGGTGTATCAGTAGTAAATGTAGGTCATTATGATGCTGTAGAAGTTTTGAAAGCTTGTGGACGAGTTCTTGTATTAGTAGTTCAAAGAGAAGTTACAAGGATAGTGCCTCCATATGAACAGGTATTATTTTATAAAATTTAAGCAATTTCTTATATTTTTTATATTACTGTATTTAGCAGGTATCATCGAGAAAGAACTCAGTGTGCTCTAGTTTAAGTACTAGTAGAGCTCCAAGTGCAACATCTCATGTTTCATCTATAGGTTTTTCACATAATTTAGAAAATGGTGATGCTTTATCTCATGATGCTATTAAGGTATATATAAATATAAATATATATATATATTTATATTGAATAGTACTTATACATTGAATATATAAAATTAAAATATAAAATTTAAAAATAAATATTTTTATTTTTATAAGTGTAAGAAAATTCCTGAACCTATATCTTCAACAAAGGTAGGCAATGAACCAATGGTATCAGTTCTTGTTCACACAACATTAATACGGGACCAAAATGGGCTTGGATTTAGTATTGCTGGTGGAGAAGGTTCTCCACCATTCAAAGACAATAGTGATGTAAGATTTTCAATTTATAAAATTATTTTTTATATCATAATTATTTTGTCGTTAGTTTATTCATTAATTGTGCTTTTTCTAAATGTTTAGGCGATATATATTTCAAGAATAACAGATGGTGGCGTAGCACAAAAAGATGGTAAATTATTAGTTGGAGACAAAGTAATATCTGTAAGTGTAATTTTAATATATTAGAGTTTGATTATAATTATGATTTTTGTTTGATATATTTTAAAATTACTTTATAGATTAATGGAGTTGAAATGAGAGGAGCTAAGCATGAGCAAGCAGTTGCTTTATTAACAGGTTTAGAAAGATTTGTTCGATTAGTAGTCGAACGCGAAATACCATTTTCACAAGCAAATGCAGCCACGGTCGTAACACCTTCAGAAAAATCACCACGAGTAATCGGTGCACCTAAACCATATACAGGATTATATAATGCCAATAGTTACATAGCAAATAAACCGGGATATACCGGATACAGACGTTCTATAGATGCTGATAGAACATTATCTCCAAGCCCTACTTCGAAAACGCCTCCACCTATGAAAATTGAAACTACTGAGTTACCGAAAATGAATGGTGTTACAGAATCAGGAAATATTAAAAACGTTTCTTCGATATCACCAAGTCCAACAAATAGCCAACTACATCCACAACCTGCCCCTAGGCACAGCATTTCGCAACCAACAATTACACCTACAACTACTACGAGTTCAACGCCCACATCTTCTACAGAACCTAGGTCAACCTCACCCCAGGAAGATATACAGGTACCCAAGCCTATCACCAACGAAGAATTTCAGGCTATGATTCCTGCTCATTTCCTTCGCCCTCCTACTTCCTCACCATCGCCAGATTCCCATCAAGGCCCTATTGTGACAGTGACAATAAAACAGCCTGATAATCTACCTGGAGATGTTAATTTTCCTCCGGCTCCTACAACACTTGGTAAAGTTACTGAGACCATCACAAAGAGCACTCTCACCGAGACCGTCGTAACTAGGGTGACTGAAAATCAATTGGTACCACCAGTAATTATTGAGGTATGTGCTTGGTAGCTAGATAATTGATTATGTTGCACATACAGTTTAAAGAAAGTTATTAAATTAAATTCTTGTTGGAAAAATATTATTTATCTTTAATTAACAAAAATTAATTAAAAAAGAAGCGAAAAGGAAGATTGAATAATATTTATTTTCTTATTTTTAAATATTAAAATTATATATTTTTATTTTTTCTTTGATATGGGAATTTTTTGTACTTTTTTAATATTTTAGATTAGTTATTTTAGTTAAAAAAAGAAAAGAAAAGTTAAGTATTTATTATTTGTAATATATTAACTTATTTCCATGCTTGAACGATAATCACATGTTATTAAATGTTATTTTATATATTTTTTTAATTTTTTTATATATATGTTTTAATACTATAACTTTTTATTCAATACAATCAATTAATTATCTTCAAAATAATTATAATTTAGAAAATAATTGATAAATTTAAAAAATAATTTAAAAAATAATTGATTGAATAGTTTTCTCTCTGTGCATGTTTAATTAAGAAAATAATATTTGTATAAATGTTAACATTTATTATATTATATATTTTAAAAAAATTTTAAACATAAATATTTATGTTTATATTTTTTATTTTAATGATATTAAAATATTTATTATTATTTATCGCATGTCTATATATTTGAAATTGATTATCATTGATTAATTCAATAATTATTTTTGTATGTGCATTATCAAACTATTTGAAAAATACTTGCTAGCAATTGTTTGTATGGAATGTTATATTACTTTATACCTTGGGTGCTTATTCTCTGGCATGGAAATAGGTAAGTAGTATAAAATTATATTTTTATTAAAAGCTTAATCATGTGCATCCTTCATTTTTTCGAAATTCATTTTTTCACGAAATTCCTTTTTGTTTTCAAAATATCCACAATATCATTTTTTAAAGTAATTTTAAAAATAATGTAATTTAAACAATGATTTTATGTATTTTTAATAATTAAAACATTGATTTTTAGGACGTGATTCTTGTAAAAGAAGGATCTCTAGGATTTAGTATTATTGGTGGTACAGATCATTCATGCACTCCATTTGGTGCAAAGGAGCCTGGAATTTTTATATCTCATGTAAGTTTTTTAATATTTTTTTTTAATATTGAAAATTTATATAATATACAAATTTTGTTATATATATATTAGGTCGTGCCTGGTGGTATAGCTGCAAAATCTGGTAAATTAAGAATGGGTGATAGAATACTAAAGGTAAATGGTACTGATGTAACAAAAGCTACTCATCAAGAGGCTGTGATGGAACTTTTGCGACCAGGAGATCAAATAGTGCTTACAGTCCAACACGATCCACTACCCGAAAATTATCAGGTAAATTGCTTATAATTTAATTATTGTTTACGCTTGCTAGTTATTGCACAAATATTTAGCAAAAAGATTATTGCTTTTTAATTACAAAATAGCTTTCAAAGTAAAATGCTTATAAAAATCTAATTTCACAAATTTACATTGAATGTTTATTATCATGCTTAATTCTCGATCTCGTAATGTTTTAAAATATAAATTTAAGATCAAAAATCAAAACTTCATATAAATTATATAATATTCTAATGCATTAAATAATCAAGATTAATAAACATATTACATTTAGTTATATATATATATAAAATATTGTCTATAATTCCATAAACGATAGAATAGAATTAATTCGTTTTTTAGTATTAAATGCACTATATTTATCAATGAAATGCTTCTCATCTGCAAAACATGGCATTTACTGCTTCAATTATAATCATTTCGTTTTGCCATTTTTTAATGCTGTTATTTATAATTTGTCCTACAAGCTGGTCGAAATAGAGTACATCCCTGTGACAGTAAGTACTCAATTTATTTGACCTGTTATTTTTTATTTTGTAATACCATGCTTGTCCTTTTGTTAAAGCTGTAAGCCCAGCACTGAATCACGAGCATTTGCTTTTTTGCTTAGGCTGAGATTATTTAGACATAGAATTTAAAATTCATTCTTGTTTGCTTTATATGCTTTATGCTAAATTACAAAATCTTAATGATATAACTATTAAATATTTATATAAATTATTTATATAATTTATATTATTTATTATATATTTATATAAATTATTGTAAAAAAATTCATATTTTTTAATACTAATTCAATATTAATAATTAAAAAATATAAAAATTTTTTGTACAACAAAATAATTATAAAAAATTATATT